AAAACAATGCCTGCTTTAAACAGACAGTGATTTATGTAAAGTTTGCATGAACAGGAAAATTTGGAAAAAAAAAGAAGTGCTAAGGACCTCAAGAAATGCATATTATAAGCATAACATTGATCCTACCAATCTGCCTTTTCACCACGGTCCCCATAGGTAACATGGAATTGCTGCCGCACTTCTGTTCGTGCCATCTTGACATCCTTCATCCCTCTGAAGCATTTCTGCAGCCAGTAATTTGTCAAGTTTCATAATAAGTCAAAAAGAACCAGTAAACAGCAACTATGTAGCCTCAAGGCGAAGTCCATAAAGGCATCCAAACATCACAGCATATTATATTACAAAAAATGTTGATCAACATCTGCAAGCTTACATCATTATCAAACACTTCCCAATTTAGGGCATTCCATCAGCTAGTTGCCAGCAATCAGAACCAAAGCAAGATAAATGAAACCCTACCTGGATCTTTATCGCTGCCGACGTTTGCTGTCGATGCACTAACCGGCGCTTCCTATCAAGCCGTGCCTGTTCCAATAACACCTGTCGGTCACTCTCCTTCGAGCTCCGTCCACCCAAATCCACTCGTTTGCGGGTGGAGGCGTCCCCCGTGAAGAACATCCCTCCCTAGATTCCAAGAAACCAGAAATAACATAATTAGGCGATCCCGCAACATATTCCTTCAAGAAGATACGCGATAAGCATTCCAAGAAAGGGACGATCAGATAGAATTATACCTCGGAGTAGGATCAAACGTAGGACTGTAGCAAATCTGCGTCCGGCGAGGGATTCAGGTCCAAAAAAGAACAGAATCAAAGAATTAGGCGTTTTCGCAACGATTCCGGACCAAGAAATTAAGAGAAAAAAAAAGGCGAGACCCATTTCAAGAAAGAAGCGAGTCGATCGGATTACCTCCGAGAGATCACACCTAGGGTTGTCGCGGCCCTTTGCCTGGAGAAGTGACCGAGAGATTGAAATTCTTGGCGTCCGCCGCGGGAACTTGGACGAAAAGAAAGGAGGAAGAGACGAGCGGAGAGAGAGAGAGAGAGAGAGAGAGAGAGAGAGAGAGAGAGAGAATGATCGAGACAGGAGTCGAGGCGGCCTCAAACGCAGTGACGGAAAAGCGAGCCAATTCGGGGGGAGGACTCAAGCTCGATAGTAGCAACCAGGTTATGATATTATATAGGCCCCTCCATCACGTATGTACATTGCATTTTGACTACCCTTTTTCTATTTAAAATGTCATTCTAAAAATAATATATTCAATGACATCAAACGATGAACGACATCGAACGACAAGCAACAGTCGACATCGAGCATCGAAAGACGAACGATGTCACGCGACGAGCGAGATATCAAACATCAATCGCTGAGTGACATCGAGCGATTAGCAACCAAGCAACTGGCAACTCGATACATCAAGTGGCCACTGATACCGAGATCCCTGTACATATTGCAGGGGTCCCCGTCATAGTACTGTGGTGCGCTTCGAGGCTCACTGTGTTCGCAGCTTCCGACGACGCACGCCGGAGAAGCTAAGTGGGAACCGCTGCGTCTGTAGAGCGACCCGCGCACGATAGGAGCATCTCCCATTGGTAATCAACCGTGGAGACGGGCGACGTTATCAACAGTCGCCCATGAAAGACATCAGGGGAATTCAGACTCTGGTGTGCGGGCCCGTAATTCGGCGTTACGTCGGCCATGCAAATTTCCCGGTTACTGGAAGCTTCTCGATCCTCCTCTCGTGGTTACAACGTGTAAAACGGTTTCCGTTACCAAAAAAGGCAGAGAAAGAGGCGCGTCGCCCTCCTCTTCTTCGTATTTATCTCATTCTCCGAGGGTGCGATTCCGCCTCCCAACGAAGAAGCGATCTCCGAGAAACTCCACCGCGGGTTTGGGGTTCCGCCCCGTTCTGGCGGGCGATGGCGGTGGAAGCAGAGGCGTCGTCTCCGAGACCAACATCGACTGGGAAAGGTTTCCTCCCTTTTCTCCCTCTCTTCTAACCTTTTGTTTTTCTTGTAACCACACAATTTTCGGGCATAGGGCATTTCTTGTGCGTGACGAGTTGATCATCTGGTTCGTTTCTTGGGTTTCTTGATCCTATATTTGAGCCATCAACGAGTATATTCAAATGTACTTTTGATGCTATTCTACCAAGAGGCTGTTGGTTATTCTCCAAATAAAGGTTTTAGACAAGTTTAGAGTGGACTAATAAAGTGGTCAGAAGTTCACATCAAACAGATCATAGAATTGGGTTCTACAACAAGAATTATGGATTCATAATTAGTCTAGACTTGAATTTATGTGATGTATAACTAGGTTTTGTTAGAATGCATGCCACTTAAAACTATATTAGGCATCCATTACATGGTAATCTATGGTTGAAGAGTCCAAATGCAAATGAAAGCTAGTGGGTTAGTAGCATAATAAGTTAGAGAATTGGATGCTAGTTTTTCTTGGTCACATATATATCTCACAAGAGAGAGAATTGATGTTCTACATCAATTGGCTATCATTTACAAATAAGGATAGCAGTCGGGGCTCGGGCTTATTATTGATGTACTTGTCGTTTGTCAGCTGTTTGCGATTTGCATTGATCAAGCAAAAAAGTGTTTGGACACAAAGTTGCGACTAACGAACGTAACCAATCTAATCCATAGGAGATCAAACAAACATGGCATTCTTTTACGTTCTTATATTCAGGTCCACCTGAAACGACTACTACACGTACTCGACTTTTGTCATCATCCATGAAGTGTAAGAGGCCCAACTGCTTTCCTAACGGATATATATCTATTTAGAAAGGTGGGCGGAGGCATGTTTGTTGAGCATTTGATACGGTGCCATCAAATTTACTTTACATGTTGGACTCGTAACAGACAGACACATGTTTGCCATTTCCACTTTGTTATGTTACAAATTCTGTATCGTCTATACTAAAGTGCGTATTCTACTCACAACCATATATTTACAGGTTCTCGGAGCTTCAGAAGTAAATCCTGCGCCTGCCTTAATGTGGCCACCACAAGCACACAAATCAGACCAAGTTAGGAGCTCCAAAGTCATAACGAATCATCTACGCTGCGAATCATGTGTGTACAGGCAGCAGGGATCGATCATCAACTCAAATCAAAACCAGCATCTGCACTTATTGCGTAGATCAATTTGGTTCGCATTTGTGCTTTACTGCACACCACCAGACAAGTGAGCAAAAGAGAATGTTAACCGATTGATATTATCAAACACTATCTAAGCAAACAGTTTCTAATATGAACAGAAGGAAAAGCTAATTTGTTACTTATAATCACACAGATGCCACAAGACAAAAAAAAGAGAAAAACAAGCACAAGCCCACATGATTAAAAAATAGATTTTTTCGGTACGAAACATCATGTCAGATGGAACTGCATAGGCAAAGTTATAAAACCTTCCCTCGTAAGTTTACCTTTGATATGGTGGTAACTTCAGCAGATTCATGCAAGTGGCTGATGTCGGTAGGCGATCAAGATCCTCTTCGGAGACATCCAAAGGAGCAGCCCTACAAATCAGCAAAGCACCACCACGTACAAATGAATATGAACGGTTGAAAAAAGAAAAAAAAATTTGAAAAAACTGGAACAAACCTCAGTATGCAGAATTTCGGTTCAAGATACTTGAAACCGAGAAGTGGACCTCTAGAACATCCGGTTACAAACCTGAAAATTACACTGGTTCAGTAGCATGTTCTTTGTCTCAATGATCTTCATTTGAAAACTGACTATGGTTTCCAGAAGCAGTAATGATGAAATATAAAAAATTATTTGTGAATTTTTTATTTATTTTTTTCCATCCTTCCATTTACATTTTTTGACAGGTATGCAAAATGACCTACAGAACATATGTTGAAGAAATTATATATATATATATATATATATATATATATATATATATATATATATATAAAATTGCATAATACAAGTGAAAACTCACTTAAGAAATTTCTTCTGATACTCCAGAGAAAAGCTTTTGAGAACTTCCCATAACATCTCAATGACTTGATGTTCCTGCAAAGATACCCAACATGAATGTTATAGGTCAGCAGCAGCAGATCACATGCCAAATGGATCTTAGGTGTGTCTTTGATAATTCATCAGAGTGTACTATAATTGCAATTTTCTTTGGCTGATCAAAAATCATATCATCTTGGATAAACTAAAATCTTACATGATGATATCCACCAGTATAACGGGTATTTGAGCGCAGATCATCCACATTCATGCTTTCAAGCGAACCTGATATAAGAAGCTGAAAGAACACCAAGTCGATGACTAACATTCCTTTTCAGATTGAATTCACTAGCTCGATTTTACCAATGTAGCTTGTCAAATGTGATCCAGAAGAAAACAAGAGAACAAAATATAGCCCCAACTAGAAAAGCCTCTCAAGAAGAATAGCTACTCATCAGGATTTTAACTAAGCTTGTACTCAAAACAAACCATATTAAATAAATCAAACAAAAATATATCAACAATAATGTACTGTAAACAGCAACCACATTTTCATCTCGGAACATGATAGAAATGCTTTAGGTCAATGATGTGGGAACAACATGGTAAAAAGAGCTATTATCTTTTACAAGGTGCAAAATATAAATGCCAGTAACTTAACATCAGCCAGAATATTTCTAGAATGAGACCAGATAATGAAGATAGCTAAGCGAATATGACTTTCAAAAAATATTTTTAGAATACCTGAATTTCATGTTCATTGAACATTTCAATCCATTCCTTTTGTACAAGTTGTTGGAATCCTCGTAAAAAATGCAAGCTTTGAGTGCGAATCTGCACATTAAAAAGATAAAGTTCCATACCAAAATCCTCTAAATCAATCAAGGAATGGAATAAGTAGAACCTGAAAATTTAGGCGATAATTTGCAACAAGATGAATGAAGGCAATAACGTTGTCCTTGGTAACACGCAGATTTTTTCCACCAGGGATTAGCTCCTCTTCTGTTTGTTCACCATATTCATTGTTTACAGCAACAAAATACAGTTCCAACTCTGAAACATCACCTTTATAATGCTGCACACATAAACCCAAATTTGCAAATATGAGTGAAGCATCAGCAAAAACTAAAGCAAAAAAAAGTTAGCCTATATAATTAACAACTGCTATGTGTTGGCAAGGAACAAGCTGAATAGCTTCAATTTAGGATACTGCCTAAAGTCCTTTTGCAGCATGACCATACATTATCTGGAGTGCAAACCATGCTAAATATAACAAAAAGAGCTTAATCTTCAGAAGATAACATAAAGCACACATAATTTTCCAATAGTTTAGATGACTCATCTCAAAAGGGACCTGATTCATTAATGAGTTTCAATATATTTTAAGATGTTTTCATAACTTTAAATGCCTTGAAATCTATTGAATAGATGGTATATCAAAAACAGCAAGGCTGTAGAAAGATTTGATGAAAGTTTAAATCTCAGTCTGATATCGGCTTCAACACCTTGTCAGACCAAGTTGATACCGGTATCAACTAGTACTGCCTGATATAACAAAAAATATAATATCAAAAACGAGAAACAACCAGTTCTAAGCTATATGGTCCCATATAGATCTGTGAAAATTAAAACTAAGCTATATGGTCCCATACAAGACCAATCAATCCGTCCAGTACTCGATGAGAAAGGATAAGGAAGGAAGAGGTGACGGTGGAGGAAAAGGAGGAAGAGGTAGGAAGAAGAGGAAGGATGGATGAGGAAGAGGAAGGAAGAAAGGAGAAAGGAGGGAGGAGGAAGAGGAAGAAAGAAGAGACGGTGGTAAAGGGAGCGGAACAGGAACAGGAAGTGGAAGGAGGGAGGAGGATGAGGAAGAAGGATGAAGAGATGATGGTGGGAAGAGGAGAGAAGTATCCCTGGTCGGTGGTGTGGGCAGCCAGAAATGGGAAAGGTGTGTACTAGTTCACGCCCCCGTCGGTACGAAAAAGAGTTCCCCGGTAATCTCCACTCTCTCTTGTTCCCCCTCTATTCTCGAGGAGTAGACCATTGGACCAGATTGGGATCCATATCCTGTACCTCAACAATGTCCATGGATAAAAGCATTGAATCAAATCTCTGGATCCTACTAAATTTAGTGCTGAACAAATTTTCATGTGGGTGACCTGG